TTCAAAAAAAAATAAATAAAAGCATTTAAACTTTTAGAATATATAAAAATGTTTATGATCTCACAGTACATGTAACTAACAAAGAATAACTATCCAGGATATCTACATAAAGAACGCCCATGAATCAATAAGAAAAAGACAAAGCACTCAACAGAAAATGGACAAGTATTTTTTTTCCCAAAATTATTTTATGTAAGAGAAAAGATAAATGGTTCATAAACATACATAAAAATAGTCAATCTTTTTGGATTAGGAAAATACAAATTAAAATGAGAATAAGATACCCAAGTATTGGCGAGGACGTGGAGTGATGCGAACTCCCATAGCCTGCTAGTGGAAGCTTAAATTGGTTGCTACTCTTCTGTAAACACTTGGCATCAGTAAAGCTGTTTACATACTCCATGATCTGGCAATTTAATGCCTAGAAATACACCCTAGAAAAACACTTGCTCATATGTGCCAGAAGACATATACAAGAATATATTCTCTAACACAATGTGGTCAAAATTAGAAGTTAACTCTGAAATGTTTAATTAAAAATCATACAATACATTCATCATCCAACATTAATATTTAAGGAACACATAAGTATTCTCTTCATGAACTGCTTATTCTTTAATTACTAAATTCATTAGTAAATATCAGTAATATCCTTTTGTAAATGCAGAGATAAAACACACCTGACAGGTCAATTTTAGGTATAGCATGAATGATTTTGTTCATACTGAGAGGTATATACACTTTAATCATCAAAGACTACTATATCAAGCATTTATAAAAGAAAATCCTTATTGAAGATTATTTCAACTTAATCAGGATTAAAAGTAAATAAAACTTTTATCCTTATCATCACTGAGCGAAATAACTTTGGTTTTAATATCTTAACCAGAAAATAAACAGAAGCAAACACTAAGAATATGGAGAGCCTGATGTCCTGTGGTCTTCCTTAATTACCACCCATTTTCAAGAGACCATAATCTGCTCAACAGAGCGAATTCTACTAAGGATCTTAATCAGATTCTGAGAAAATTCCCACTCAAAACAAAACAATATGCCACTAAAACCCAAACAATGTAGGTATTAGCGGCTAAACAAAAGATTAGCTCTACCTGATGAATCACTTCTGAAGTGATGAAAGTCTGTCTTTGAAGTGCTTTCCATTCAGGCTGGAAATATATATAAAGGTGGGAATCATTCACAAAGCAGGTGGAGAAAATTTTCTCCATTTTACACATCTTTGACTCCATGCAAACATCGAACTAAGAATGGCAAAAATGAGTCTCTCCTCCTACACATTAATACTAACTTTTTCTTTGCTTTCTCAAGCCATTTTACTTTCAGCATCCAAGTCCATGAGAAATTTAGAAGATGACGTGGTATTTAACACATTTAGGCTGGGGAAAGCCTTTCAGAAGGAAGATACTGCAGAAAAATCAGTCATTGCTCCTTCCCTGGCACAATATAAAAATGATGAGAGCGGTTTCATGGATGATGAGGAAAACAAAAATTCAAGGGTAAGTGGCAATCTGACTTGTCCTTTATTTCAACGACTATTTGAATGATTGTTATGGATGCTTTGGAAGTAAAGTTGATACTTTTATAAACAGAAGTATATGCAAATAGCCACAATATGCATTAGGACAACTGATGAAATTTCATACATAACAGGTTGTTCTTTCATCCTGGACAACAACTCATCACTTAAAAATATCTAAGATATTTTTGAAAAGTCAAAACAGTCATCTTTGAATTAATCAATAAGAATTCAACTATATTATATTACCATTCCAAATAAGACAGCAAAAATGCAAATCAATCTTTTTTTTTACAGAATGCAGGCTCCAAACATAATTTCTTGAATCATGGTCTACAACTGAATCTGGCTATAAAACCTGATCTTGCACCAAAAGGATCTGTAGCTTTTCCAGCTGAGAATGGAGTTCAGAATATTGAATCAACACAAGAAAAGAGAGAAACTGGGGATGAAGAAAACTCAGCTAAATTTCCTATAGGCAGGAGAGATTTTGACAGTGAGTAGTCCTTTAAAATTCAATTATTTAAGTCTTAGTACCATAAAATAGAATTCTGAGTTTAACTGAATTTGGATCCAATGATAACAAAATTAAATAAGACCATAGTTCAATCACACTTTTTTCTATTAAGTGATCCCTGCCAAATATGTGGAACTAAAAATCATTTAGTTATTATAATTTTGATTTACTTCAAATTAGCTATATTAGGTCCATTGTTTTTATTTCTAATAAATTTTGTGTACAATAATAGTCCTTTAAGCAATTTAAACCCTTTTTTTTCTTTCAGTGATCAGGTGTATGCTGGGAAGAGTCTATCGACCGTGTTGGCAAGTCTGATACCTATTGGCCCACATGATCTTTTCAGAAGAAAACAAAATCATTTAATTGCCTGTTGGGGGGAAAAGCTCTTAATGTTACTATGACTTATATTATTTTAAATGTCTGTTTTAAAAGAAAGCAGTATAAAGAGATATCATTAACCTAAATGATATGCTTTATTTGTACATTAAACTTTGTGAGTATTCTGCATAACTATGACTTAGTTGTATTTTTTAAACAATGCTTAACACACTAACCTTACATATGCTCTAGAGTCTCTCTAGACCAAAATAACAAAGCATCACAAACAGACCAACTGTCAAACCTCAGAGAGAAGGCAGGGGAGGGAGGAGTGGGTAAGAGATCAGCCAAAGGACTTATATGCATGCATGTAAGCATAACCAATGGACATAGACATTAGCAGGGTGAGGGCATGTGCTATGGGGTGGGAGTATCTGGGGAGAGGTCAATGGGGGGAAAAGAAGGCATATGTAATACTTTAAACAATAAAGAATTTTAAAAATAACAACAAAGCATCTTAATTTACACCTTGATCTCTTAAAAATTAAGTACATGCCTTTGGTGAATGGTTTTATACATACATGAATCTAAAGTACATAAAAGACAAATTCATAGTCTAAAAAACTGAGTTAACTTTGTCTGGCCAGTAATCAATTTGTCCTTGGCAGTACACTTGTTGCTTTTTGCTATTCTGGCTAGTTTGCCATCCAACTTATTCTGCATATCATTGGATGTCTTAGGTATCTTAACATTTTTATATTGGGGTGGTTCATTTCCATTATCACAGAGAATGTTTTCATCATCTAAAGGCACCTGTTTCCTTTTTGAGTTTTTATTTCCTGTCAGACTATTGGATTTTCTTTCTACTTTTTCATCTTTACTTCTGTCCAGATGAACATTTCCAGGATTTGTTCCAATTATTGGTCTTCCAACAGATGAATTTACACCTTTTGTTATGCAAGATGAAAAGAGGAAATGAATTACATAATATTTAGTATTATTACACATGAGAGTTTTATAATAAACTTTAAAAATGGCTAGAGTATTAAAAAATTTATGATTTGTATTTAAATAATGCTATAAATTATGCCTATATTATCACACTAGAGACCCGGTGCACGAAATTCGTGCAAGGGGCTTCGCTCCTGCCTCTGCCTCAGCCCCCACTTGCCGCAGCCTCATCTGGAAGGTTGTCCAGAAGGAAGTCTGGTCTAATGAACATATTATGCTTTTATTATTATAGACTAGAGGCCCGGTGCACAAAAATTTGTGCACTCGGGGGGTCCCTCAGCCCAGTCTGTGCCCTCTAGAAGTCTGGGACCC